GCTGACCTGGGTGTCTGAAGTTCTCTGTTTCCTCCTCTCCTCCTCTTTCCTCATGTCCTTGATGGTCTTTGTGTTCAAGTCAATGGTCTCTCCTGATGGCTCTCTCCTCCCTTGACAAATTTATTCTTTCCCTCATAAATATTGATTCAAAGAGGTGTTTCTCTATTGCTAATTGGCTCAGCCTGGGCTGGAGGCAGGTCCGCCTTGGAGCCAGGGGAGCTTCTTGAAGCTTCTCATAGGGGCCATCACTGTAGTCCCTTTCCCTGCTACCAAAAATGACCCCACACACACAAACCCAACACAGACATGACGTGATATGGGATATCCCATTGGCATATCCAAATGCCACTTTGGGTCTGCTGACCTTACTATGCCCCCCCATTTTCTTCTGCACCTGCAGACTGAGGGAACATGGGAAGAAGCAGAACGTGGGAAGTTGGAATGTCCTTGATTTCTGAGCAAAAACTAAAAACATCAGTATGTTATCAACAGTCTTCTCATAACAAATCCCACACTGAAACCAAACCCCAGCGCTGTTCTAGCTACTGAGAAGACAATTAGCTCTATCCCAGTCAAACCAGGACACTCCTGTTTGAGGAATACACTTGCTATTTATTCTCTAGCTGATGATGGGTATGGTCAGCAGATGATGTTAAAAATTATTAACTGTTAACAAGCTTCCATGACTTTTTTCTTTTGAATGCTATCACTCCAGGGCAAGCTGGGGAGAATTGGACCTCCAGGCTGCAAGGGAGACCCTGGTGACAAGGTAGGAACCCTTCACTCTTTGTTCAGCACATCAGTTGTGCAGCTGCTGAATGAGTTGCACGTGTAGAAAGATGGCCAACGAGAGGTTACTGTCCCATTTTCCAAGTGATGGCATGATCTGATTCCAGGCCTCCTTTCCATGGGCAAGTAAGATGGGATCCCCCAGCATCCCTCCCCTCCACGTAGAGAAAAAAACCCCACTCCTTTCATCAGCACTAGCAACAAGCAAAAACTAGTTTGGTCTCTAGAGCAACTTTCTAAGCCAGTTGTTTTATTCTGCAGGGAAAGTGCATATTGTTGCCACTGCAAAATGTGTGGTTCTTTGTCCTTTCCCTCCCTAGGGCCCTGATGGCTACCCAGGAGATGCAGGAGACCAAGGCGAAAGAGGAGATGAAGGCATAAAGGTACAAGTGCCCACTTGTGAGCAGAGAGTGTGGGCAGAGGCCACCAGTTAAACACCATTGCCTGTATTTACTTGTAAATCCTTCACTACTCATGGATCCCATAGGCTGTGGGGTCTGGATCCCATCACCAGACACAGAAGCCAAGGGAAGAGCCTTGCTGGCCCTGCTCTTTGGGGGTTCCTCATGGTGCACATCAGTGGTGGGCAATAACATCATGATGATGATGATGATGATGATGATAATGCTGGCAATCACTATTGCTCTGTTGCTGTTTCAGGGAGATCCTGGCCGACCTGGACGCAGTGGACCCCTGGGACCTCCAGGAGAAAAAGGAAGCCCGGTAGGTTCTTGCATCATTCAGTGAAGGGTCTGCTCCACCAACACATCCTGGTCATTCTGCAAATTAAGCCACCAGCCTGGAGACAGCACAAGCCCCTGGGTGGTCGAGTGATCTCTCCTGCCATACATGTCCCCACCAGCACAGTGGGAAATGTCATGTGGGCAACAGGAGAGGGGACTGTGCAACATCCCTGCAGCTGCCCAGAGCAAAAGGAGAATGGATCTCAAGCATTTGTCCACAGCAGAGAAGAGGAAGCAAAATAAGCTTAGGAGGACTTACCTTTCTAGCTGATCCGTTGCACTGCACCTTTCCTCCGCTTCCCACCTTCTCCTGGGTAGAAAGGCCCTGTTTGGCCATGGTTTCCCCTTCCACAGTCTCATGAATTCCTCAGGGTTTGTTGCAGGTTGTTTTAACTCGTGTGAATTAACAATTAATTGCTCAGAGATCCAACACGGGCTTTACTCATCGTACTTGAGCTTCTAGCCAAAGGGGTTGCTGTGATGGTGGCCAGGTTGCCTCAGAGATAGTGGAGAAGGCTGAAATAGCTCTCCAGCTTTAGGCAGAGCTGGGTAGATGCTGTAAGGAAGACTTGAGAAGCCTTTGCACTGGTTGATGGAGGAAAGGTGACACAGCATGGCACTGCTCCAAGGCTGGTGCCTGTGCACCTACCTTTGGCATGTAGGCATGGTGGGTGGGTGGAAGCGTAAGTTGTGTGCTCATACAGACCTCTGCTCAAGGGTGGACTGCTTGGCACAGGACAAGAAGGGTGTGTGTGTGTGTGTACAGCTTGACCTCTCTTCTGACAAATTGTATTTCTTTTTCTTCTCCAAGGGACTTCCAGGCAACCCTGGAGCTCAAGGGCCTGCTGGAGGCAAGGGAAGAAGAGGTGAAACGGGACCTCCTGGACCCAAAGGAGAACCTGTAAGTGTCTGAATAGGTCCCTGGGCAGTGGGCACACCATGGGAGCCTGATGCAGCTTCATGGATCAGCACTGAGAAACTTCCCCCATTTAGCCTCCCTTCTGCATCCCAAAAGATGTGCAGATGCTGATCTCCTCATCTCTCCCATCTTCCTAGAGCAGTACTTCCATAATCCTAAACCTGATGTTAACCATTTCACCTTAGAGAAGCATCCCATGTTCCCACAGAACCACAAATGCCTCTGTGGATGTCCAGGACCCCTTGGCTGTACTCTAGCAAGTTCCTCAAACTGCTGGCTTCTTACAGGAGCTCACAGAGTGGAGATCTGGTGGCCATTCCATTAGAGCTCTGATAAGGGCAGCAGCATGACATGGATGGTGCCAAACAGCCCCAAGCTAACGTGGTGAGGCACTGCAAGATTTAGGGAGTGGGTTGAGGTGACGTTCCCTGCCAGAACACAGCAGCATGGCTCCACCAGCACCAAGAGGTCCGAGCCCAGCCACCTTGTGTCCTTGTGCAAGATCCAGTGGGGAAAGCAAAGCTGGATGAACTGGAAGTGAAGCAGCTATTTAACCCTCAGGGAATGAACCATGAGTGTTTGTGGTCACTGCCCTGACCATCCTCCTGAGAGAAGAGTCCAGCTGTGGCTTCCCAAAAACCAAAGGCAAGATCCCCCAAGCAGTGCTGGCATGGGCATCCCTACTGCCCTTCTGCCAGGCACATGGTCACAGAGGGGGCAAGGAGATGTCTTTTGGGCCAGGGGGGAGAAGGCAGGGCAGCCAGGTGTCACTGCTCAGGTAGCATCCATCTTCACATCCCATTTATCTGCCTTTCTGTGTCTGCCAAGGGTCGACGTGGAGATCCAGGGACAAAAGGCAGCAAAGGCACTCCTGGGGCCAAAGGAGAAAGGGTGAGTAAAGCAACTGCCCAGACCCTTGCCAAGGAGCCCAAGATGCACAGAACTGGTGTGTGTGATGTGCTGCTGCCCAACCATCAAGTGTCCATCCCCATGGGCTCTGTGTGTGTGCTGGGCTCCCACTGTGCCTGCCCTGGTGACAGCAGGTACAGCCTCCTCTTCCAAGGTTTGATCCAGAGAGAGGATGAAGGGCAGCAAAGCTTGAGGCTGAGGCATGTTCAGAGGATACACTATCCTGACACTGTCTTTCAAGCCAAGAAACACCAGATTTGAGAACATCATCATGCCTCCTTGCTCCAAAGAACACTGCCATATGCACAAACAACATTGGAGATATCCCTGACCAGGAATATCTTTAACCTTCTCACAGGGAGATCCTGGTCCAGAGGGTCCTCGTGGCCTGCCTGGTGAGGTTGGAAGCAAAGGAGCAAGGGTAAGCACGAAGTAGTGGTTGGTGACATCCAAGGGAGGGAGGGAGAGCACTGCTGCCATCCGAGGTGGCTCACCCAGCTCTCCTCCTCATGCACACCTGTCTGTAGCTGCCTCTGTACACTCTCGTGTCTTGCTTTGCTTTGCAGGGAGACCAAGGAATACCAGGACCCCGAGGCCCTTCAGGTGCTGTGGGAGAGCCAGGCAAGATAGTAAGTCATCCTGGGGCATCTCTTAGACTGTGTCCTCCCTCTTGCAGTGAGAGCTTGCCCTACTGACATGAGCTGCCTGCACTGTACCTCCTCAGAGGACCCTGCCTGACCTTTTCTCAGGGAAGCTAAAAAACTAGCCCAGAGGCCCTGGCTAGTCCCTGGGACAAGGAGAAATCTCAACACCCAGGAGTCCCTGCTCCTCCATCACTCCAGGGGTTTCCATGACAATATGGAAGGGACAGTCAGGATGGGTCATGGGATGAGGGAAGATGGGTCTCCCCAGATGTCCATGTGTCCTGGGTCTGTGGTTAGTCCAACACCCCACTGTGGCAGTAGTGCCATGACATCCATGTGGATCCACAGGATGTGGGAACCCAGGTGCTGAATCAGTCACTATCACAGTAACTTCATTGGGAGGGGAGATGGTGCTGCAGCATCATCTCAAGATCTGGTTTCTCCAGCACAGTCCCCTGCATGGCTGGGGAGCCACAGGGAACGTCCTCACCCACTTCCTCCACTCTTCCCAACACTCTCCTGCAGGGATCACGTGGGGACCCTGGTGACTTGGGCCCAAGAGGTGATGCTGGACCACCAGGACCAAAGGTGAGGTACCTGAATGCAACCCTGCATTTGAAAGAGAGTTTTGGTGTGCTTTTTTTTTTAATTGTTAAAAAAAAGGCAGTTTCCACTGCAGAATCATAGAATCACAGAATGTTGTGAGTTGGAAGGACCCCCAAGGATGATGGAGTCCAACTCCTGTCCCTGCACAGGACAATCCCAACATTCACACCATGTCCCTCAGGGCCTTGGCCAAATGCTGCTGCAATCTTGTCAGGCTTGGTGCCATCAGCACCTCCCTGGGGAGCCTGTTCCAGTGCTCCACCACCCTCTGGGTGCCTCAAGAACCTTTTCCTCATGGCCAACCTCACCCTCCCCTGCCACATCTTCCTGCCATGTCCTCTGCTCCTGGCATTCGTTGGTGGCCAGAGAGAAGAGATCAGCGCCTGCCCCTCCTCTGCCCCTTGGGAGGAAGTTCTAGACCCCCAGGAGATCTCCTCTCAGTCTCCTCTTCTTCAGGCTCAACAAACCAAGCACCTTCAGCCTCTTCTCACACCCTTCCCCTCTAAACCCTTCCCCAATAAACTTGTGTGCCTCAGAAATGGAATGGCTCAATCCTGAGCCTCCCTGTGGGGCAGAGATGTAGGTCTTGCTCTGGCCAAGGCAGCTGTGATTACATCCCTCACCCTGCACAGACTCAGAGGTGTCTCTGGCATGAGATGTCCCCAGGACCCCGCGAAGCTTTGCTCTGCACAGCCATCCCCAATGTTTTAGGGCCAGCTGCAGAAGTCACAGCTCCTGGTGGTGTCTCATCCCCAGAGGGGATGAAAACAACTCTGTCTGCCACTGGCATTGCCAGGTCAGAATGACTGGGTTTGGTTTCTGATGGGTCATTTTTTTTCTACCAAAGGGTGACAGAGGCAGACCTGGCTTTAGCTACCCTGGACCCAGAGGACCACAGGTAAGTACACCTCATCCAGTGCAGATGTATGCACCACATGGAAGCCTGGGTCAGTGGAGGCTGCTGTTGGAGCTGAGCAGCCTGGGAGAAGGCAGAAGGAGGAAGAAAAATGATCAGAGTCACAAAAAAGTGAAACCCACAAAGGGGTTGAGGGTGTTGAACACCAGGACTGAACCTGGCCACGACTCCATCAGCCCCATGGCAGAGCTGCTGGGACCCCATCCTTGATGAGAGTGATGGGGAGGTGGCTGCACTCACCACCCCAACCTGCTGTTGGGTTTTGTGGCCCTCACTGGCCCTACTTCAGATGTACGTGTGCATGATGTGGGACCAGTACCGACTGGGTGCTGACCTCTCCCTCCTCTCCTTCTGCAGGGTGACAAGGGTGAGAAGGGACAGCCAGGGCCCAAGGTGAGTGTGTTTGTCTCCATCATCTGTTTCTGGACTGACAGAAATGCTGAGTTGTCTCCTGACCCTCTGGGTGTGTGGCCAAGGAGCCTGCCCTGCCGGCAGCTGCCCTGGCTGTTCCCTGCAGCTCTGGAGCCTGGGTGGATCTCCCAAGCCCATCTCCTTTGAAACCATCTGAAATATGTTTTCCAAAACTTCTTTATTCATAATTAATGCCGTGTAAACACTGTTTATTTGCTCTGGGCTGAGCTGCTGGTTTAGAACGTGCTCTCCCGGGCCAGGCAGGTGTGTGTTTTTGATGGGCTCGTAGCAGTAGTGCCTCTACTTGAGCACATCCAGATGTGCTCCATGCTGGATCTGTTTCTCTTTCCTTTGAGCAGGGAGGAAGAGGTGAACCTGGACCAAAAGGAGTGCAAGGGACCAAAGGAGAGAAGGGGGAACCGGTAAGCAGACTTCTCAGGAGGAGCCCTGAACACCAGCAGCTCCATCGCCAGCCTTGCTGAGGAAATACTTGATCCTTCCTTGTTTCTTCCCCAGGGTGATCCTGGCCCAGGAGGGGAGCCTGGACCCCGTGGTCCAACTGGTGAAGCAGGCCCTGAGGTACAGTACCATGCCATCATGTCTGAGTGGATGCTCCAGCTCCCTCCTCTCCTCCTCACTTCTTCTTGATGCTTTAAAGTCCAGAGGATCCCAGCAGGTCTCCCCACAGCAGGAGTTGCTGGAGGGGACAGTAGCTGCCAGACATGTCTGCTGGCTCCTCACGAGGCTTTCCTACACTTCCTGTAGCAGATCTCTGCAAAAAGCTGCATTTTTGATGGCTCTGACATCTAGTTCCCAAAAATGGAACTCGTAGGAAAGCTGTGCCTGAAATACCTGTATTCTCCTTACAGGGGACCCCTGGACCACCAGGAGATCCTGGCCTGACTGTAAGTAGAATCATAGAATCACAGCATGTTGTGAGTTGGAAGGGACCCACAAGGATGACGGAATCAAACTCCTGTCCCTGCACAGGACAATCCCAACATTCACACCATGTCCCTCAGGGCCTTGGCCAAATGCTGCTGCAATCTTGTCAGGCTTGGTGCCATCAGCCCCTCCCTGGGGAGCCTGTTCCAGTGCTCCACCACCCTCTGGCTGCCTCAAGAACCTTTTCCTCATGGCCAACCTCACCCTCCCCTGCCACATCTTCCTGCCATTCCCTCTGCTCCTGGCATTCGTTGGTGGCCAGAGAGAAGAGATCAGCGCCTGCCCCTCCTCTTCCCCTTGGGAGGAAGCACCGCTCTGCAGCTCCCCGGGTGCTCATCCTCCTGGGGGATGTGGCTTTACCGTGCACAGCCCAAGAACAAAACAGGGTGTCAGGTCCTGATGCTGCCCATCAGAGGTGGCCTGTGGCTTCCCACCAAGGAAAGAGGGGCAGGGGTCTGTGGGTGGGAAGGGAAAGGGAAGCCTTTTCCTTAGAGGGAGCAACTGCTGTGTGAGGGGAGGGAGGCACTGACCCTGCTCCCCTTGGCTGGCAGGACTGTGACGTGATGACCTACGTGCGAGAGACCTGCGGGTGCTGTGGTGAGTGGACCATCGCCTCTCCCCAAGGCAGGGGAATGACCACTCAGGGGACTGGGAAAGGGGGTCACCAGAGGCTGCCACCATCTTCAGGAGTTCTCCTGAGGGACCTCTGTCCCAGGTGCTGCCGTTTGCACTGAGACATCGGCACGAGGGTCCATTTGCCGCTCTGCACCATGCTGCACCCTGCAGAGGAGACACCATGAGAAGTCCTTCCCTGCTCGCCCTGGTCCCAGTCTACCACTGAGTGTGGTGACACTGCAGGGGCAGCCTGGCTTACCTCCCAAATGTAGCTCTGCCATCGCAGAGGAGCAGCGAGCTACAATACAGAGTTGCATGGTGCAGATGGTGGTAAGATCAGAAAGGTTTCTTTTGACACACATTGACAGAAGGTTGCGTGTAAAATCTTCCCTATCCTGCTGGCTGTGGGCAGCACCACAAACCTTGGTGTGGTGCCAACTGTATCCATCCTCCCACAGATGATTTCTTCTGCCCTGGTGGCTCTTGTCCCCACCATTGCTGACCTTTATGTTTTCCTCCTGTCCCTCTCCCCAGACTGTGAGAAGCGCTGCGGTGCCCTGGACATCATGTTCGTCATAGACAGCTCAGAGAGCATTGGCTACACCAACTTCACCCTGGAGAAAAATTTCGTTGTCAACGTGGTCAGCCGCCTGGGCTCTATCGCCAAGGACCCCAAGTCACAGACAGGTCTGGACTGTGTGGGGACAGAGCAGGGCATGGGGAAAAGAAAAGGGTCTTGGATCCCTCCAGCTTCCACGTTCATCTGTAGCTGCCCTGGGCTGCAATCAGCATTTTGGCAGCAGGTTCTGCTTTTCCCCCTTCCCCATTTTGTAGGCCAACAGGGCAGTTCTTTGCTGACACAAAACTTGGCTGACTTCCTCCACTTTTCACTGAGGACGCAAAGTCAAGTAACGTGACGCTTCGTTGGCAGGTGCCCGTGTTGGGGTGGTGCAGTACAGTCACGAGGGGACCTTTGAAGCCATCAAACTTGATGATGAGCGCATTGATTCACTGTCCAGCTTCAAGGAAGCAGTGAAGCGCCTGGAGTGGATCGCTGGAGGCACCTGGACACCATCTGCCCTTCAGTTTGCCTACAACAAGCTCATCAAGGAAAGCAGGCGAGAGAAAGCCCAAGTGTTTGCTGTGGTGATCACGGATGGGCGCTACGACCCCCGGGATGATGACAAGAACCTAGGTGCTCTTTGTGGTAGAGATGTTGTCGTCAACACCATTGGCATTGGAGACATGTTTGATCAGCCAGAGCAGAGCGAGACCCTGGTCTCCATTGCTTGCAATGAACCCCAGCGAGTCCAGAAGATGAGGCTCTTCTCAGACCTGGTGGCAGAGGAATTCATTGACAAGATGGAGGACGTGCTCTGCCCAGGTACCTGTACCTGTCCTTGCTCTGCTTATGGAAACTAGAGTTTTTGAGCCCCAGGATTTGGGGTGGTGGGGGGCATATATGGTGTGTTGCAACAATTACAGAGGCACTGGGTCCCAGCAGGTTGGCCAATAGCTCATAAGCTGGGTCATTCATGGTGGGGGTTGACCTTTATGTAGCTCTGGATAAAGAATCCTTCCTCAGACACAGGCCAGCTTTTTGGGGCAGTCCTGTGGAGCCCTTTCCTCTTGTAAGAGACCTCACCCTGCCACTCTGACTGCACAAGCCACAAATGGAGGTGGCAGCACATCACTCAATTTTCCCTATTTCTTTTCCTTCCAGATCCACAGATTGTCTGCCCTGAGCTGCCCTGCCAGACAGGTAAACATTACAAGTAGCTTCATGTCATCTGAACAAAGTAGTAGGTCCGGGGGAGAGTGCACAAGGCTCAGGAGTGGGAGAGGGGTGTGCAGTGCTGTTTGTTCCCTTTGGATGGCAGGAGTTTGGGAAATAGTGTTATTTTGCATGAGGAGAAGCTCCAGGTTTCCATCTCCTGCTCTGTTCCCGTAGGTACGAGTGCACCGCGTTAGTGCACCAGCGTGGCTCAGCTCAGATATTTCTCCCTGTCCCAATTCCTTGGAGCCACCAAGTTTTAACTTTCAAGCTCAGCAGTTAATTTCTCCCTTGTTCCATGTCTCTTGTTATATCTAAAGTCAAACTCCCTGTGCTAAACTCTCCTACCTTGTGTGACCTTTGCAATGCAGAGCTCAACCTACAGCACTGGGCAGGATGCTCGTTGGGAGCAGCGGGGGCAGAGCAGGGGGGTAGGGACCATTTGGAAAATGACACCCTAGTGAACTCAAAGCTTTGGCTTCTCTAACGCTGGCTGTATTTAATTAGCAATTAACTCAAGGTGTTGGATTAAAAGAAAAAAAGGCTGTAAGGATCCTGTGGTGTAAAGGAGACGGGTGCTGCTGGCTGCAGGTAGCTTCACTTGTCCCCGTGTTGCTTGTGGAGGGGCAGATCTGCAATCTGAGTTCCTAGAGGTCCTGTTTGAGTCTCTGCACCTGTTCAAATACAAGAGATTGATTTGCTGATACACACAAAGCTTCTAGGGGACAAAGTTCTGCCAGTTCTTGCCATTTTTCTCTCTCCTCTTGCCGTGAATATGTTTTTGTGGAAGTCCCCAGCCTCAACTCAGCATTATACAGAATCTCCACTTTCATTTTCAAAGGAGTCCCTTCATTTCCATATAAAACAAAGGAAACTGGTCCCAGGACACTCAGGCATCTGAAGACAGAAAAGATAAAATTCTGCCCATCCCAAATCACTCAGTAATATTTTGAGTATTGGCACCTGGCCATGCAGAGAGGACAATGTCCAACTGTGATGTTGAGCTATCCACACAGGCTCCTCTGCAGTGTCCTCTGAGGAGCTCTGTCCTGCGGATCCATGCACGAGGAGGTGACTTCTCCATGCCACACTGGTGACTGATCAGGTGTCTTCAAAGGGTTGGTTTTCTTTTTGCCACACTCCTGTTCTCCTAGGCGTGGGCCATCAAAGCCCTCCAAAGCAAGGCAAAGCTGGTGATCCTTTCTCTGTAGTGCACTTGGGTGTTTCTGTTCCTGATGCAAGGTGAGAACAGTTCATTGGTACCTGACAGTCCTGGGGACCAGAACAGAAATGGCTTGAGGAGCCATCTGAGGGTGTTCCTTCCTGGGCGAGTCCCTTAAGCCACGCCATAGGCAGTCCAGGTCAAGTGCAGACCCTACATCTGCATCCCAGAGGACTTGGAAAGTGGAGTGACATGGCTGGGTAGGTGTGGGCCTCCTGTGAAAGTGCCAGTACTTGTTGGGCAGAAGTTGTCCTGGTGAGCAAGGATCTGTGTTAGGCCTGGTAGATAACGTTTTAAGTGATACCAAGGGATTCAGCAGCCTTTGGGCAAAGCGCCTTCTACCCACCACACTGGATGGTCCATGATGTGTTGCCATCATCATCTGGAAGGATTTGTAATGATTGCATTTGCATAGCAGTAAGGGAATGTGTTGGATGTGATGTGACATAAGGCATGTGAGAGAGCCTGGCGCTTCTCTGCTCAGTGCTCAGCTTCCTCCAGTTCTCCAAGAACATCTCAAGAGTTGGTGCCAATTCACATGCGAACCTTCTGGATGTAGACAGTGCCCTTCACAGGGTATGTGACTGAGTTTCGTGTACATCCAATGTGTGTGTCTAGTTGTAGACAGGCCAGGCAGGTTCAGGTCAGGGATGCAGCTACACCATGGCCTGTTCATGGCCCCATGTCTGTCCATGTTGTAGTTCTGGCACTTTAAGGAGCAGTTCTTGCCAGGGTAAGTTTAGGTTGGTCATTAGGAAAAGGTTTTTGAGGCAGAGGGTGGTGGAGCACTGGAACAGGCTCCCCAGGGAGGTGCTGATGGCACCAAACCTGACAAGATTGCAGCAGCATTTGGCCAAGGCCCTGAGGGACATGGTGTGAATGTTGGGCTTGTCCTGTGCAGGGACAGGAGTTGGACTCCATCATCCTTGGGGGTCCCTTCCAACTCACAACATCCTGTGATTCTGTAATTCAATTGCTCATGCCAGGTACCCCAGCTCCAGCCCAGGTATCGTCAGCAGAGCACAAAGAGGGACAGGTACTGCACACACCCTGGCTTCCTCCCTGCTGCCTTGCAGACCCAGGCATGTCACCTCGTCAGGTTCACATCTGTGAATGAAGCCATGCTGCCTCCGTGCTTTGTCTAAGGAAACACAGGATTTCCCTGTTTTCAGGGCAGACCTTTGGCTCCCTGTCACTGCCCGTCCCTTCCCGCGGTGCTAACAGGACGCTGGAGGGTTAAATGGGTTAAATGCTGAGCAAATCTGAACTGACCACGTGCTTCCATAGAAACCGCATGACGCTCTGCCAGGCTCTTTCTAACCCACGCAGAAGGCTTTGCTTTGAGCTTTGGGATTTTATTTGGATTCAAGGTCAGCGCAGCCAGGTGGAGACAGAAGCTCTCAGGGTCCTGACTAGTCCAGTCACCACATAGGAGCATTGGTCACCTCAGGGCGGTGGCCCTGACCAAAGCGCACCAGGCTGAGTGCCAGGCAAGGAGTCCCCATGATGCTGTCCCTTAGATGTCTTTCTGGCTGTACAGCATCATGTGTACAGTTTGCGTGTAGCAGAGTTCATGGAGCAGCTAGAACAAGTCCAGAGGAGACCACCAGGATGATGCGAGGGCTGGAGCAGCTCTGCTGTGAGGACAGGCTGAGAGAGTTGGGGCTGTTCAGCCTGGAGAAGAGAAGGCTCCGGGGAGACCTTCTAGTGGCCTCCCAGTACCTGAAGGGGCTCCAGGAAGGGTTGGGAGGGACTTTGGCCAAGGGCAGGGAGTGAGAGAACAAGGGGTGATGGCTTGAAAGTGTCAGAGGGGAGATGGAGATGAGATGTGAGGAAGAAGTTTCTTCACTGTGAGGGTGGTCAGACACTGTCCCAGGTTGCCCAAGGAAGTTGTGGCTGCTCCTCCCTGGAAGTGTTCTCGGCCAGGTTGGATGAGGCTTTGAGCAACCTGGTCTAGTGGAAGGTGTCCCTGCTGCTGGCAGGGGGGTTGGAACTGGATGAGCTTTAAGGTCCCTTCCAACCCAAACCAGTCCGGGATTCTATGAATCCCATATGCAGAGAGGAGTTGGACCTTGTGGCCCTCTTCTTGAGCACTGCTCTTTCTCCATCGTGGATGAGTAGGAAGGAACTGGGCAGTTAAGGTTTCGTGTCATTTTCTGAGGTCTCTCAGTTGATGTGTGAGTGTTTTCAGTGAAAATCCCACAGTTCCTCAGACATAAACATGGCAGGAAGGCTTAAAGTCTGGCTTTGGTCTTTACTTCTCTGTCCTCGTTAGCTTTGTTCTTCTCTGGTGCAGTGGACGTAGGAAAGCCAGGTAGCTTTCAGAGACACAGCCATTGCTAGCAAGCCCTGAAAATATTCTTTTGACACTCACTTGCAGATGGCAGGAACCCTGGGAACGTAAACCCACTTATTTTCCGCCCCATGGAAGAGGGAGTCAACATAGATTTCCCCAGCACCATACATTCGATCGCCCAGTTCCTAAACTCCACGCGGGAAACCCAGGACCCCAGCATGTACACCCAGCTGGTGGCCACTTTGGCCTTTACCGCCGAAAAAGCCAAGTTTGCCACTGGAAATGAGCGGCAAGAGTGGATGGACTTGTTCATTGACACCTTCAAAATGGTGCACAGCGAGATTGTGGGAGACCCAGAAACCGTGTTAGGGCTTTGCTGACATCTCTGTTAGAGGTCACATGAAGCTGGCAGAGGCAGAGGTTGAATGGAGGTGGTGATAATCCTCTTTCCATGGGTGCTTGTTTGGCAGAGGGGACAGGTACATTGGTAGATGCTTTAAGTTTAGGAGAAACACAGGCAATGAAATGGCTTGGTTGTGCTCAGCTGAGGAAAGAAGGGGCTTGGCTGGCTGATGAGCATGGTGGCTTTCTCCAGCGATGGCTAGAGATGCTTTTGCTTTGCCCACTGCTTTTCTGCAGAGGAGCTGCGTTGCCTCCATCTCTGAGCCCCTGTGCTGCTCCCCTCTGGCCCCGCTGTGCTTCCCTCTGCCCCGGCTGGCCAGCGTGCCCCAGTCAGTGAGTGTGCCCCAGCCCTCAGCCATGTGTGAGCACCAGGCTCCACCGAGGCAGCTGCTGGCACACGCGTGGCTGAGGGCCAGAGCCAGCCCCTCATTTGCAGACCACCTAACAACATGCTTTTCCCACACCTTCCTACATATGTACTTGCTGACCTTTTCTGAAGCATCTTCTGCATCTTCTCACTGGGTTACCATGAGGGCTGTCTCCGGGTCCTGCAAACCATTTGTGTGGCAAGACTGTCAAAGGGAGATGTCCCTCCTCTCACTGCAGCGAGGGTCTCTGCACAACCATTCAATGGGCAGTTGGGGATCTGGAGGGGAAGGACCAAGCAGTACGGAGAGGGGGAAACCCTGGCTTTCCATCGAGAGCACCAACACTTGGGGAGTGCTTCTCTCAGAAGCTGTATGAGCTCCTTCTGCCTTTTTCTCTGCTTGTACATTTGTGTTTCTCCTGTCTTCATTAGCAACATGTGCCTGCTCATATCCAAGAGGCAGAGGTTACGTAGGGCCAGTCAGTCCAAAGTTCATATCCAAGAGGCAGAGGTTACATAGGCCAGCCATGCAGTCAAACCTCTGTGACACGTTACGTGAGGTGTTTAATAGCGAGTATTGATGTAGTACAGCCCATTCAATACATACCCAGGGCTAGTTTGGTTCAGGGAGGCTCCAGACCCCCTACTTGTGCTGTGGGTATGTACATTTAGAGGAGGAGTGATATTTCCATGAGCTCAGATACCCCTGGTTTTCATGAAAAGTCAGGCAGGTGACTGCCATTCCTGCCTCCAGCTGCCCTCTCAAGCCGTTAAGAAGAGAAAATGGCATTTCATGTGCAGGCACAAGAGTAGAAGTGTTTATTGCCAGCAAGTGAATTTTGCAGCCTCTCTAACTGACACGGTATTATTGCAATAAAGTATCCTGAGCAAATGTCATCTTTAATGGGCAGAAGGGAGATGCATGGTCTTCAAAAATGTGGGCTGCAATGTTTCAAGGTGTGCAAAGTGGAGCTAATTGCCGAGCTCCTCAAATTGGAATGAGGAACTTGCCCACTTTGAACTTCTTGCAGTGTTTTCTTCCAGCTCTACTTCAACATCTGGGGTTTGCCAGTCTAGGCTAGAAGCCATCTGGTGACAGGCACGAAGGGGGGGTGTTTGTATCGCTCAGCACGTGAGCAGATCAGGCACACTGCACAAAAATAATCTTTCTCCCAAGTTTTCAACACTTTTTGCTCCCGGTCTATAGGGACAGGGAGGTCAGAGAACTCTGCTGTTGGCATATAATAGAGGGGAAATTGTTCAGAGAGCTTTATATGGTGTGCTCTGTGGTTTAGGTGAAGGCAAAAGGATTAGCCTGTGTCCTAGCTGCCCTGCTAGTGTCTGGCCATAACCCACGTGTTCCAGATACTTTATGCAAAGCCAAGCTCCCTACTCTGTTTTTTCACCCCAAAACAGAGTGTGACTTAGCCTGCTGGGATGCAAGTAAGAAGCCTGAACTCAGTGTAGTTAAGCTGCTCCAGCCATGATGCTAGAGGAAAAGTCTCAAAGAAACACTGATCTGTAGAGAACATCTCAGGGCTGGGATGTCTTGCTGAAGAAGACAAAGATTCAGTGAGACTTCAGCAAAGAGGGCTTAGACCTCGTCACACAGTGGCTGTTCATTTCATTTCCTTTAAAAATATTGCCTAGTCAAGCAGTGCAACGTTGTAAAGAAAGGTTCTTACCTCTCAAAAACCTTCAGCTCATTATGGGGGGAAAGACCCAAAGGGATAAGATGTCACTTTAGCTGAGCAGTATTTGCATTGGCCCTTGTTAGACAGAGACTAGAGGGTGTAGTGCTGTTCTGCTAACGTAACCCTGGCTAAACCAAAGAGATTGCATCACAGCAACGGTTCCTTCAGTGAAGATCACAGAATCATAGAATGGTTTGGATTGGAAGGGACCTTAAAGCTCATCCAGTTCCAACCCCCCTGCCAGCAGCAGGGACACCTTCCACTAGACCAGGTTGCTCAAAGCCTCATCCAGCCTGGCCTTAAATACTTCCAGGGAGGAGCAGCCACAACTTCCTTGGGCAACCTGTTCCAGTGTCTGACCACCCTCACAGTGAAGAACTTCTTCCTAATATCTCATCTAAACCTCCCCTCTTTTGGCTTAAACCCATTTCCCCTTGTTCTGTCATTAACTGCCCTTATGAAAAGTCCCTCCCCAGCTTTCTTGTAGCCCCTTCAGGTATTGGAAGGCCGCTATAAGATCCCCCTGAATCTTGGGCAAAGGAAGGTTGCCCAGAGAAGCTGTGGATGCCCAGGTTGTATGTGCCCCTGGGCAGTCTGATGTAGTAGCTGGCAACCCTGTCCACAGCAGGGGGGGTTGGAACTGGATGGTCTTTAAGGCCCTTTTCAACCCAAACCGTCCTATGATTCTATGAAAGGAAGGACACAGATCAGGGGCTGGGGAAAGGACAGTCCACACCACCCCAAAGAGACGGGAGCGGTTGTGAAAGGGAGAAGCCCCAGAAAGGGCTGGGACGTCAGTTCCCATCTCACTGTTGCTTTCACATCCCCTGTCAACACCGTGAAACAACAGAGGAAATACAAGTTACTCAGGTTTTAGAAGAAGCAGGAAGGTGAGGTGGAACATGATGTGAATGGGTGGGGTCAGTCTGCACATGCACATAACTGGGCAGGTTGTTAATGGCAGGAAAACTGATGGTATTTCTGCTTTTTGGAGTACCTCTGTTAGACACCCTCAGGTACACAGTATGAGAAGGATCAGTGCTCCAACTAAAACCATGACATGAAGATTTTAGTTGGCCTCATTCATGGTGGTGCCTCTGAGAACTTAGCTCCCGGTTAAGGAGGAGAATCTTGTTCCTTGCTGCAGGGAAAGGCACTTGGATCCTCAGCTTCCCAGAAACGGGAACAAGCTGCAACCAAAGCATGACACCGAACAGGACAGACCCAAGGTTTTGCTGCACTGCTCACATCTACGTTATGTTCCCATGGGATAACTCATATGTGAAGGCATCTTACCAAGCAGCTCAAAGGCAGCCCTCTCCAGCCGTGAAGGCTGAGCAAGGGCAGTCATGGGGGAGTGCTCCTGCACTGGAGGAGGCTCCTGCCTTACGCTCTAGCCAAAGCTCTGCAGAGTGGTGCTGCTCTCAGGCCACTGTCCACTTAATTAGGAGCTCCTAAGGCTTGTGTTGGGCCATGTTGGTAGGGGGTGGGGTGGATCTTGCTTGTCATCACAAGAAACATGTAGACAAGCAAAAAGAGAGACAGCCTGGTAAGACTTCTCCAACACGATATGCAGCCCTTCCTCCCACCCGCCTGCTTCCTCCTGGTTTTGCAGACCCCTACTTAGATGTCAGGCTGTGTGGTTGCAAGGGGCATGCTTTTCTGCCTCTCCCCTTCCACGACTGCACAGAGCAGGTGAGGACCAGGAGCACAGGCGCTACCAAGGCAGAGCATCCTTGTGGCAGCAGCGCCAGCGTACCAGGAACAGCAGCATCAATGTCCCTTTAGACATTTGTCAAGGAAGGTTGGGCAGAGGTGAGTACCTACCTTTGTTGCTTTAAAGGAGTGTAGTGTTGGAGTTGGATTTGGGAAGCAATGTTCAAAAAGCATCACTTGGAGATTGGTTCCTAGTGCAGTCAGAACTGGCATTGCAGGAGCCTGTTGTTCACAGTAAGGTAAGGTACAGTAGGCACCATTCATGGCATGTCATCGTTGTAGATATGTTTTCTGGTGTGGGCCAAGGAGAAATGCCAGTCTACAAGGTCAGGGAGCATGATACAGACACAACCACAGACTTCTGCTATGTGCAGAGAGCTAGGTTAAACCACAAGTACCAGATGCAGAAGTTCCTGCATCAGGTTTGACTGTTTTATCATGGGTGGAATTGGTGCCAAATAGTCTGCGAGTCAACGATACGCATCATCAGAGCTTCTACCACACTGTCTTGTGCCGTTGGATTCATGTTGGACACCATCTCTGTAGTCTCAAGACTGCACCTATCTATTTTGCTTAAAATATAACTTTGCTGTTTGCCAGATGTTGGCTAGGCACATAGTACTCGTGTACCACACAGTGATCCATTTATTGCTCAGCTCACACAAGGAATCACGCCGGTTCAGTACCCCATCGTGCTGAATCCAGGTGTAGCAGCACTCAGCACTCAGGAAGCACTTTGTCAGGTGTCTTTTGCTCACAGTATGGAAATCCAACCTCATGTGATACTCCTGTCCCCAAAGTTACCCCTCATTGCCAGAAAAGGCTGCTCAAGCTGGGACTTCTCCAAAATCTCCTATTCCTTGCCAGCCATGCCACACAACATGTCATCTGCTCCAGGCCTTCATCCCTTTTGAGATTCAGTCTTGGAGACACGGAATTGCTTGACAGTGACACAGCCATTGCCCTGCTGCCAACTCGGGGGGTGGCCAGCCCCAGGGTGTACATCACAAATCAATCCTGCTGCTGCAGTCGTATTCCTGACGAGCGCTTTCAGCAAAGGAGGAAACTCCAAAGGAGAAGAGGAAGAAAATTCAACAGTGCAGTAGTGGAAGGGTTTCTCGGAGAAGCAGTGCACTCAGAGGAACACCAAATGCAACACGCATAACTCCTGCAAAGGAAGGAAATAACTGTCCCTAACTAACAGCTGTCTCCAAGATCTTCTTCTCCCTTTTGATCTGAGTCCATTCACTGTGTATGTTCATACACCATCTTGTGGACAGGTGTTGTTGTGAGCGACTAAAGAACAATGTCCCACTGTGTTTCACACAAAGATCGGTCTGTTGTATGTTACAAAAGCTGCTTTACTACATACAGGGTGATCAACAGGGATAGTCTTGTTTGCCAGCCATATGACCCAACCTTTATAAGCTCTTCAGGAATTACTGATTGCTGATTAAACTAATCTAGGCGAAATGTATGAAAACAGCTTTCATCCTACAACTCGGTGTGTGAAGAGTAACTCTGGAAGTAAACCACTCTCTAGAAGTAAGGGAGAGGTTTGCAGACAGGGCCTGCCATTAATCTCTGGACATTGCTGTTACAGATAAGAGCTGGGCACTGCTGTAAGAAGGTGGATGTAATTCTGGGATGGAAATGCACAGACCTGTCTATTAGACATAGATACTTGTGAGGGTCTGTCATAGGCCCCAGAATTAACATTCATTAAGACCTAGTGCCCAGGAGCTGAGGGAATCAGAAGCGAAGCTCCTACGTTAGCAGCTGCAAAGACAGGCTTTGGCAGCAGAGTGGGGCTGGTCCTTCCTTGGACAAAGATGTACAGAGGCCACTCCAGCCTCAACTGCCCAAGGCAAACCCCAATCTTATCCTGTAGGCTTTCTTATGCTCCCAACTCTTGTCTTCTTCTTTCTCCTGCAGAGCTCGCAGTGGCCCAGTGCACACAGCGCCCTGTTGACGTCGTCTTCTTGCTCGATGGCTCTGAAAGGATCGGGGAGCAGAATTTCCACAGGGCCCACCACTTTGTGGAGGAGGTGGCCCGACAGCTCACGCTGGCCAGGAGCAACAGCGACAACATGAATGCCCGGATTGCCCTGCTGCAGTACGGCAGTGAGAGGGACCAGGTTGTGGTCTTCCCACTCACCTACAACCTGACGGAAATCTCCAACGCCCTGGCACAGATCAAGTACCTGGACTCATCCTCCAACATTGGGTCAGCCATCATCCATGCCATCAACAACATCGTGCTCAGCCCAGGAGATGGGCAGCGACTCGCCCGGCGCAATGCTGAGCTCTCCTTCGTCTTCATCACCGATGGCATCACAGGAAGCAAGAACCTCGAGGAGGCCATCAACTCCATGAAGAAGCAAGATGTCATGCCCACGGTAGTGGCTCTTGGGAGTGATGTAGATATGGATGTCCGGCTGAAGCTTGGCCTCGGGGACCGGGCAGCCATCTTCCGGGAGAAGGACTATGACAGCCTCTCCCAACCCAGCTTCTTTGACAGGTTCGTTAGGTGGATATGTTAAATGAAGGGAGTGCACATGTCCTCCTCTCACCAATATACACACCCCTGATATTACCTCTTTCATTTTCTTCCCCTGTATGGTTGCTAGCAACTCTGAGCTGGCCCAGAACAGCTGCCCTCTGGGTCCTCTTTTCTAGCCAAAAGCCAGAGCTCTTTTTTTGATTTTCATGATGAGAAGACATGTATCTTACATCTATGGTGCTAATTAAAACCGAGATCAAAGCAGGATACAGAGCCATACAACGTACTTCTGTAAAGCTTTGCACACACCAAGCCATGACTTGTGTACGTACTGTAATCCCAGGAGGGCTTATCAGAGAAGTGAGAAACCTTCCCAGTCTAGCAGGACAAATGATCATCTCTAGTTTTCAAAAACTCTCAATATCCCTCAGTGTCCTGTGAGGAGCTTTACGGTTGTGACATCTCCTGTTCTTTAGCAAACCCTTTTACAGATTATCTCACCTTTTTTTTGTTGTTCTCTCAGTACTTCTGCCCTGAGAGGACCACATGAGTTTATGACACCTCACATGCTGCTTGAAATGGTCAGCAACTTGCTTTCCTTTTGCATGGCCCTGGGTGGTTTGCTCCTCTTTCCCAGGAGCAATGGGACGGTGAGAGGTTTTGCTGCCTTCTACAGTTGTCTGTAGATGCTCTGTTTGGGGCTCTACTTATCCTAAATTTCACGGATCATCTTTAAGATCTTTATTTTCCTGTGGGCCATATCTCTCCCTTGCTTCCTTCTGCCATTCTGATCTTCCTCAGAACCTGTTCATTTATTATTGCACCCAAAATCTTGTCTGAGAGGGGCAACATGCCTCCCAGCATCTCACAAAACACTGGGCAGCTGCCAAAGCTGCTGTCATCCCAATGTGCTCAGAGTAACCATGGTGCCTTCATCCCACTGGTATCTGCTGAGCAATGCCCAGATTTGGACTTGAATTGTGCTGGCTGTAAAAATAAACAAGCTCTTTTCACCCTATCCTGAAAAAGCCTCTTTATTCTGCAATTTTTATCTTTATTTTTAATGAGCAGCTGATTCTCCTGGTGCTGAGATGGTAAGTTTGTCTTCTGCCCCTCCCCACAAATGCTGGAGCAAAAAGCCAGGGGTCCCTGCAGCACAGGAGTGACAGGGCACTGCTTGCTGAGGACCTGAAGGACCACAGGAAGCTGATGGGGCCCCTCCAGGCCTCCACACTGTCTCCAGCAGTTCACTTGCCCTGCACTCTACCATGATCTCTCAGTGCAACGAAGACCTCACATGCTTCATGGTCCTCACCAGTCCATGGGTGAAGAGAGCTCAGGTGACCCTCTTTGAGAGAGCTGTGTCTTTCCCCACCAGGAATGTAGCATTACACCTGAGTGGGGCTTTACCTGCCCTTTCTTCAGCCCCTCCTGCATCCAATACTTGTGTGTCTCAAGCCAGGACAGCTGGGCAGGGGAACCCTGCAAGGACGGGGGCATTTCTGTAAGGTGGTGGAGGTGGGATGGAGAGGAGAGGCTGGGTAGGGTGCGAGTTGTGTGTGGGGGACCCCAGGCACGGGGTGCAGAGGCAGTAAATCTGGGTGAGACAGGGTGTGCCATCTCTTTTGGAGCTTCTCTCTGCCACGGTGAGCTGCTTGTGTTTGTGCCTCTGAGTTCAGCAGCCAGACACACCAGCTGGCAGCAAAACCTTCTTTATAACAGGGTTGAGAAGGGTCCTTTTGAGCCGTGACAATGGGTAAAACAAAAATAAAACAGCAGCAAAAGCAGACTTGTGTTAAAATTGTTGTAATGAAATCACTGCCAGATTTTTCACCTTTTCTAGTGAGCATGAAGTCCCATAGAATCCCAGCATTGCCTCGATTGGAAAAGCCCTTTAAGCTCATCGAGTCCAACCATGAACCCAACACTGACCAGTCCCCTATGACTAACCCATGTCCCTCAGCACTATGTCTACACGACTCTTCAATCCCTCCAGGGATGGGGACTCCACCACTGCCCTGGGCAACCCCTTCCAATGCCTCAGACCCCTTTCAGCAAAGAAATTCTTCCTCACATCCCATCTCAACTGCCCTGGCCACAACTGGAGCCCATTTCCTCTTGTCCTGTCCCTTGTTCCTTGGTTGAACAGACCCACCCCCACCTCTCTCCACCCTCCTCCAAGGGACTTGCACAGAGCCACAAGGTCTCCCCTCAGCCTCCTTTTCTCCAGGCTCAACAACCCCAGTTCCCTCAGCCACAAGGGAACTCAGCACACTTGTGCCCCAGACCCTTCCCCAGCTCCGTTGCCCTTCAATTCAGGGGCTCCAGAAAGAGAGCTCACTCCTTTTTCCTATTGATTATTACCCTGGCGAGCAGGATGGCAACCCATACAGCTCTCCAAGGGCAGAGTTACAGCATTCCCTGTCCACCCCCTCTGCTGCAGCTGGGAGAGCTCACGTGAAGTGTAAGGACTTCTATGGGTGGTCACTGCTATCACTGCACAGGAAAAACACCACAAAAGGCTACAGACCAGCTCGTGATACCCCCCCGTGCTGCTCCCTGCAGGGATGACTTTCAGTGGGCTCTCCCAAAAGACAGAGGACAGAGCTGCTTCCCATCACCTCACAGTGATTCCAGGGCAAAGAATTTACAAGCTAAAAGCAAGAAAATCAGTTGGCAGGTGAAATACCCCTCTAAGAGAGAGAGAAAGGGAGTGGAACAACATGCAGGTGGTTCCCATGGGGTGTTCAGCTTCGTGATTTGTCGCTGCACTGCCGCACGGGTGGGAGATGTCCTCTTCAGTCAGAGTCAGAACTGCTGCTTGAGCTGCTGGAGTGCTGGAGGAGATAAAACAGCTTTAGGGTAGAACAGAAACCATCCTCTTTCACACCATTTCTGATAGGCATTAGCAATCTGGTGGTGGGTGCCCATTCCCAGTGCCCAACCAGGTTCAGGTTGAGCCTTGCAGCAGTGGTGGCTGCAGACCCACCTCTCCCCAGGGGTCTGCACGCCAGCAAAAGGGGAACCCTCAGGTCTGCACGCTGGCCAGACTGCAAGTTAATTAGTAATAGTCTTAGTAATTAGTTAATGTCAAGGCCCAGAGGGCTGTGCAGAGGATGAGCCTGCTTGGGAGTCAGCACAGCACCACGACCTCAACCAGCAAACCTCGGCCAGGATACCTTGACTTGAAGATAAAATGGCAATTTTTATTGCAGTGCTGTTACAAACCACATTTGAGAGTCTGAGGCCATTATTTTTCTGCTTGGAGAATATAATTACGGGATCATAGAACGGTTTGGGTTGGAAAGGACCTTAAAGATCATCCAGTTCCAACCCCCCTGCCAGCAGCAGGGACACCTTCCACTAGACCAGGTTGCTCAAAGCCTCATCCAGCCTGGCCTTCAACACTTCCAGGGAGGAGCAGCCACAGCTTCTCTGGCCAACCTGGGACACTGTCTCACCACCCTCACAGTGAAGAACTTCCTCCTAATATCTCATCTAAACCTCCCCTCTTTCAGCTTAAACCCATTTCCCCTTGTTTTGTCATTAACTGCCCTTATGAAAAGTCCCTCCCCACATGTCGTGAGAGGGCTGGGTTTGTTGTTATGATTTTCCAAAGGTGTTCAGGCCAATTAAGCAAACTCCAGAAGGTTCCTGTTCTCTGCCAGCGAGGGCAAACTTCAAGGCAGATCACTTTCAGAGGCGTTACACGGTTAGGTGGTTTGCTTTGTTTGGGAAATCCTCCTCCCTCCAATGGTGGAACTGGGGTTTTGTTTAACAACCCCTCACTCAGACCTCCTCTGGGTAGTGCCCACCCCTGGAATGGCATTTTCTGAAGCATCTACTCTTGGCACAGAGAATTGCTCTTCCTTTTTTGTTGTTGTTGTTTGTTTTTTAAGAGGAAACTGAACTGCTCCTTTGCTGTGGGAGCTCTCAGGTGAGCAGGACAAAGTCCTGGGGTTTAATACGGGTGCACCCTGAGCTGTGTCACTGTTACAAATGACTGCGAGGAATTTCATGAATCACATTGCAAAAGACTTGCTTTAAATGACTCATGCTCGCCTATTTATTAACCAAACTAGGAGTCTCCACATCTAAATAAGCCACTGAGGTGTTGGCAGCCCACTCCAGAAGCCACAGGGTAGAAGAGGAGAGCTCCAGATGCTCTGGATGGATGCTGTGGCATGTGAGAGGGGTTCTGAAGGACCTCAGCAGAGATTTGGAAGGGTCTACTGCCACCTCACTCTTACCTTGCCTCCATGGTGCTTGGAGTGCTTCTTCTTGTGCTTCTTCTTGTGCTTCTGATGGTGCTTCTGATGATGGTTAGGGGGGCATGATGTGCACCAATGCATTCCTGGTGGTCCTGGATGGGGATGTCCATGGGGATGATGCCCTGGTGGGTGGTGCCCGTGGGGATGATGCCCCTGTGAATGGTGCCCATGGGGGTGCTGCCCTGGTGGGTAGGGACCAGGTGGAGAGGGACCACAGGGATAGCCACCTGAGGGTCCAGGGGGATAGGCCCCGTGGGCACCTGGTGCCACTGGAGGGTAGCCAGGGTAGGAACCTGCTGGAGTGCTGGAACCAGGGTATCCCTGAGGGGCAGGTGGGCAAATTTGCACTTGGGGTGGTGGCACCCCTCCGGGCGTGCCTAGGAAGAAGATGAGTGGGGTTGTTAGTGAGCAGAGCTGAGCTGTCCCCAGACAGGCAACACAGGGAGCTGGTGCACCCCTGCACCCAAAGGACCCCTCCCACTCTACCCCCTCCTCACAAATGACACCCCAGTCCCCTTTGGTAGGCAGGCAACCCCCCCCTGGGTGCCCGTGGCCATTGCACTGAGCCCCTCTCTGAGCCCCGATGGCTGTGTGGTACCCACAGCCCTGCCCGGCCCCACAGCCCCTCACCTGGGTTGGGGTTCCACATCCTCTGCGGCCCCTGAGCTGCAAAGGAAGGACAGGCACCGTCAGTGCTCCCTGATAGCACCTCCTGTCATGGGGACGTCATTGTCCTGCCAACAGCCA